GGAAGTGATGGGAAGCGAGGGGAGGTAAAAACTGATACATAGTCCTAGCAGCCATGTTGTTTGTTTACATGTGGTAAGATCCAAGTTACTGTTTAAAGTTAAAATTTTCCATGAATCCCGAGGACTGGAAATGAGAGGATTGCATGGATACTGACGATTCAGCTGGTTGTCAGGGGGGTGTGTCCCCATACCAAACCAGGTTATACAGAAATAATTTGTGTTCCTTTCTGGATATTAACCAATCAGAGGCTAGAATACAAACAAAATTAAATTATATATATATATATATATATATATATATATATATATATATATATATATATATATATATATATATATATATAGATATATATATATATGAATGTAATATTTTACTATAGTAAATTTTACTTTAGACCTTGGTCCCCCCCCCCTTCAACTTTTTGTTGCTGTAAGGTCGGGAACTGGCGAATTCCAGGATCTGGAAAGTTAATTGGTTTTTTTAGGTCACCCAAGTCACTCAGGTGACCTACTGCTAACAGTTTTTTATCTGTCGTCCGTTAACATTTGAATATTTTCAACTTCTTCTCACCGTCACGGCAACTCAGTCGGTAGAGCGTGGGTGGAAGGTTGTGATTTCGAATCACCGCCGCGACTAACCTAAGTCGATGAAAAATAAATAGCAGCTGTTCCTTCGCCAAGCACAGCACTTTAAAGTGAAAGATGCGGGTCTTTCGGATAAGACCTTAAACCGAGGCCCGGTAGGTGTGGCACGATAAAGAACCTTCATTGGTCCCGAGTGCCGAGTAAAGGTCTAAATTTGAAGCCCTTCATCGGTTTATGGTGACAACTGTATAAGAGAGAAAATTCTCGAACGGGACATAAAACAGCATACAATCAATCAACTACTTCCCTGGAACCGATGAACCAATTTTGGCCTATAGCATCTATGGTTAAAGAGAAACAAAAATTGTGAATTGCATGATCTTTGCCCACCTGGGGCCTGAGAGGTGGGACTAAAACCACCAAAATTAATGCAATCTTTACTCCTGCACACCAAGCAGTAAGACTGTTGGCATGATTATGATAAGCATTGAGCCCTAAAATTGTGAAATTCATGGCCAACGGGTCAGGGGTCTGATGCTTGGGGTGGGGCTATATAGATCATATAGTGAAAGTGCATTATTTCATTTAAAATCTTCTCTTCTCCTGGATATTAAACCAACTAACTAAATACATAGTTATAATGAGCAAGGGTGCCTCATCTAAAATTGTGAATTTCATGGCCCCCGAGTCCGGGGTTATGGTGTTAGGGCAGGGCTCTAGATCTATGGATTATATAGTGAAAATGCAGTAATTAATCTTTGAAAATCTTATAGTGAAAGTGCATTATTTCTTTTAAAATCTTCTCTTCTCCTGGATATTAAACCAACTAACTAAATACATAGTTATAATGAGCAAGGGTGCCTTATCCGAAATTGTGAATTTTATGGCCCCCAAGTCCGGGGTTATGGTGTTAGGGCAGGGCTCTAGATCTATGGATTATATAGTGAAAATGCAGTAATTAATCTTTGAAAATCTTCTCTGCTCCTGGGTATTATTTAAACAAACTAAGTGCATGGTAATGAAACGAAAGTCTGTCCTCCAAAATTATGAAATTTATGGCCCTAGGGTTGGGAGATCTGTTGAAATGGGGGGGGGGGCTCTATTGATTATACAGTGAAAAAGTATTTCTTTGAAAATATTCTCTTCTGCTCCTGGTTATCAAGCAAAGAACTAAGTGTATAGGTATGATGAGCAAGAGTGCCTCTTCCGAAATTGTGAATTTCATGACCCCTGCGTCAGGGATTCTGGTATTTGGGCCTGGCTCTATTGATTGAATAGTGTACGTGCATTAATTCTATTGAATAATTCTGGCTTCTGCTTAGTGTTGAGCAGATAAAAAATGCATATATACTTGTGATGAAAAGGGGTGCTTCTTACAAAATTTTTAAATCTTGTGGTCCTGGGGTCAGGGGTTCTTGTTTTTTTTCTGAAAGGGGGGTCTTTGATAATATAGTGAAAATTTGTTAACTCTTTGAAAATGTTCAACTAAGCGCATAGTTATGATGATGAGGGTAACTTTTCCACGTTTATGAATTTCATTACCCTGGGTCATGGGTTCTGGTGTCAGGGTTGGGCTGTGTTGAATCTGTAGTGTAAATTCATTATTCCTTTGAAAAATCTTCTTTGGTCTTAGGCATGTCGGAGGCAAACAGAGTAAAAATGTTCATAAACAAGGGTATTTTTTAGCAGATTTTTGATCGTGCTCTTTGGCTATCCGATTTTTTCATTTTCCTCTCTTACTTTGTAAAAAGGGAATATATAAAAATTGCCTTTGCCGCAGGAATCGAAGTTTTCACTACATGGCGTTTTTCCTATGGTTGGGTCCTTAATCCTTTGCTTACGCACGCAAACACGGTCGGCTAATTTGGTTTCTGTTTGTACTGTATGAAATATGAAGATAACGAACAGTATTTAATCTCGAAAGTCCAATGAAACAACACAAATTCGAGCAGAGCAAACACGGACCTCAAAATTTAGAGGTGGGATCACACCGCCTTGTGCTCCTTGTCATGATCAGAGAAAAAACGGAAAAATCCGAAACCAGTTCAGTGTATAAATAATGGCCTAACAATTAGTCTGAAAAACGCCATTCAGCATTTGACTCAATGATAGGCAGTATGTGCTGACAAGGCCATTGTATCGACCATAAAACTTGCGAAATGATGACTTCAAAGGATATTGTTGATTATTGTTTCATCAACTTGTTTGTCAACAGCGTGCTTTAGATTTATACATCATAGAGGATTTTACTTTGAACTTCATTCCGTTTTTAAAACTCATGGATTTGGCCGGTTTGTATTACTTGATATGTTCCGCATCGTGGATCCTCGCACTTTAAAACTTTCGGTTTTTGAAGATTTGATGTAAATTTGGCTGTAGTAAGATTTTTTTTTCAAATTAGGTGGTTGACGTCTGCTATGCAGCATATCCTTGGGTTTAATAAGGTCCTTAATGTTTCTGATTGTTGAAGAATAGGGAAAAATTGGAAGTTTAAATATGCTGTGATTTCTTGGGTTGTGAGTACTAAGAACAGAAGAAATCTTTTCGTTGCTTTCACGTGCTTCTAGGGACTATATGCTCAGAAGTAAAAAGAAGACCCCCTCCTCGTTTACCTTACCTTTTATATGTATTGCATTTTTGTTCAATATTTCCATCACAAAAACTTTTTGTTTTTGATATTGCGATTGCAAAATAAACGTAAAGAAAATATGTAGAAATATGTGGAAATTTTTTTTAGAGACTTTGTTTCTTTAGAAATGTCATATTTGACATTTGACGTGGTCACATTGACGGAAAAAGTTTTAAATACGTTAAAATTATGTATACAGACAACATTTTTCATTTTGGGTTAAGGAAATTGTTTATTTTGGTGGATCCCTTTTGACAGAACGTAATATCAAGGAAGTGTCTGTACAGTAATCGCGGTTTTTATTTATTTAGAAATAATAAAAAGGGTGTTGCTGTCTTAAATACGTATTAATGTTTTTCAGCTGGGATCATTTTATATACAATCCAAACAGTTAACGTTATGAAAAGATACGATGAAAATATAATTTATAAACAATACCCAAACCACCAAGACTTGGCCAATACGACAGGCGAACGAAAAACATGAAATGTTTGCATGTCCAGGGTCCATGTCAAATATATTTATTTTTTTAATTATATAAAATAAATGATATGCTTTTTCAACTTATATTAAATATAGCACATTGTATATTTGGGAGTAGAGAGGATAAGAATAAAATTATACATGTATTTTGTTTCTTTTCATAAGGAGAAATACTAATTTAAGTGAAAGTTCAAAAGTCACTAAAAGCCTTTCCCCTTAAGCACCAAAATCTCAAAAGAACAACAACAACAAGGCTTAGCTTAATTTGCTAACATATACAAAGAAAGGACTCGCAATTACAGAAAATCTGTGCCGCTTAGCAAGGGAGCAAAAAAAAAAAAAAACCACCCAAGAATTTTTAAATAAAAGGATATGACATTCTAAAAACTTTTTAAGGTAAAACAAAATTTTAATTCACCAATTTAATATTTAACCATCGACAGGTTCATGCAAAACAAAAGTTTTGCACAGGAATATGTTCGAAAAATCTTTTTAGGAATAACGTTTAAACAATATGTTTAAATGATATTTTGTAAAGCAATTTAACTATAACAAACTATACATGGGATAAAAAGTACAATCTCTTCCCTCAAACAAACATTTGGAATCTAAAAATTTTTGCTAATTTATACTAAGATTTCTTTGTTTTGGTAAAGGTAATTTTCTCTATATATTTTAAGCGAATTAATTTGTACTCAGATGTCTTTGGTTTTGTAAAGGTGATTTTTACTATATATTTTGAATGAGTTCAATATTTCTATGTTTTAGGGATCACCTGTATATTTTAAAGTTTTACGTTATTTAAATGTTTATATAAATTTAAAATACTGAAGAAAAAAAATCATTCCTGCTTTCATATTGAAAAAAAATATAAATCCGTCTGTAAATGTTTAGGATTTTTAATTCTGTTTATAAACACACGTACGACTATATCCCTTCTGTGTAATTAATGATCTACTGGTAATCATGGTTTGTTATGTCTGACTGTTAGTTTGGCCGTGTCATTTCCTAGTGTCCTACAGAGAGTGTGATCATGAGTAATCTTGTCAGTGAGGGAAAAAGTTCCATATCAACATGTAAACATCAGTTCTCATCAGATGTGATATTAATAAGATATCTCCATAAAACGAAAGATAAACAAAGAAATGACCATTTAATTTGTCTACCGCTGTCTTAAAGGTTTTATCATTGTCATACGGGTAACCACAAAGAGAACTTGAGGAGCCTGTATAAGCAGCAGCCGACACCTCCCGTCATGCATCACGAAATTGCGCGCGAGATTTTTGTATAAATTGACAATACGGAAGTTGCAGAGTATTCAATTGTCTGTCAATGTGGACCCTGTGTGTAAGCCTCATTAAATCTGTCATGACAGTTTGTAGTAAGGACAACGATTATATATAAGTTAACTTAATGAAGAGACTCGACAGGCAATCACAGACAGCCCGAGAGAAAACATGTTTGTCGTCAATACCATTCTATTTTTTTATGGATTTGTAACTTTAATTTGTTACGTCAAGGCTGTGACAATGCAGTACGGTAAGCATCGTGATCGAAACATTTCCTCGTTTTACAATGTTCATAAAATTATGTAATTATTCTTTTTTCTTAATTATCAAAGGTAATTAAGTCCACATTAGTGCCTGGATTTTCATTTCAGTTTTTTATACTAAAGCTTATGACAGAAGATTAGACATGCTTTTCCACTCTTCTTTAATATTTGATCTTGATGAATCTTGGTTTTACAATGATTAAAGTATAACATGAAATATTAAATACATATTTTGGGAATCAGAAATGATCCAATCAATTATTTATTCAGTTATCAATATTGTTGACGTTCCATTATTAGTGTTGTGTTCAATCCTTCATTGCATTATATTCAAACTTTTAAAGATTAATGGTGATTTTCTTATGACTGCGTGACATCACGATGCCCTTTCATCATAATTGCAAATGGAGATTAAAATGCCCATCTGTATACAACATTTCATGTATCCACTTTGACCCTTCCTTTTGGATACACATTTTTATCATGAAATATTTAAAAGGGAGTGTGCAATTTCAAATTTTTTATCGTAAACTTATCTAAATTAGATAGATAGATAGATATAATTTAGATAAGTTTACGTTAAAAAGAGATTGAAGTTACTTTTTTGAAATATATATATATATATATATATATATATATATATATATATATATATATATATATATATATATATATATATTATCACCATAAATTCACAATCGTGTCCAATATTACCAGTAAAAACTTAGTAGTGATATTATTTATATCAGGGAGACGGAAGTGTTGAGAAGGTTCTCCTTCAAACATGATGTTCCTCGCTGTCTTACATGACCACACAAGGGACATCTATCTTTTAACGGTCCCTCTCTTTGTTGTTTATTTCTACGGAATAGCAATTTTGATTCTTAACACACATGTACAAAGTGTTTTATGATATGTTAGTCCAGTTTCCAATTTTAGTTTTCTGTCTTTAGGAATTGAAAATAGACCATCTTGATTTGAAAGTGTATTGTTATTGTCGTCAACCTTTAGTTATTGTCTTAATCAATTGAGAAAACACCTGCGCAAATATTCATCATTGTCTTAGTTTTATTTGTATATAGAATACTTTTAATCTGCACTCACCTTTGTACGTGTTTGGTTTACAGTGCAAGGCTTGAAGGTTTCTGAAAATTAAAGAACCTTAGAACCGGCTTACAAATATTGATTTAATTGGTCATTAGTCTTTCAACTAATGTTTTAACGTAGTTCTATGCAGCCAGACATTAATTCCAGGTCGCTGCATAAAAGTTGCATAATGCACCTTTGATGTTTCAGAGTTTTTTATTACGTAATTTACTAAGAAATAAAAAGAAAAAATTCCCTAGTATTTTTTAACATATCTATTTAAAGAAATTTCTTTTGAATTTGTTTTAGGTTGGATATTAGAACGAAGAAATAATAATTATTTTTGTTCTTCATTTGTAGATAATTAACTCTCTTTATTAAAATGAGACAGCTAAATTTAAAGAGTAGTGGCAGTTATTGTTTGGTGCTTGGTTGATTTATAATACTACTTTTTACATATGCCGCAAATCTCATAAATGATTTTAAAGTCAGGTTTCTTTCACATAAAAAAAATCCTCTTTATTCTTATGCCTACATATTTTATATCTGCCACAGATCATATCTATAAACAGTCGCACAGATCTTAATGGGAAATAAGACTAGTTTAAAGGTGAAAAAGAAAATTGTGGTCTATTTACAGTCAATACTCACAATGCTTCACTGCAGACTGAAATGTTTATATTATTATCTATTTTTATTAAAATGTACATGCCATAAGTCATTAGAATACTGTTATATACAAAGATGAAAATTTTAGAAATATTGTAAAGATATTGTACATTGCCATGCTGTTTAGAGTAACATACTTTCAAAATTGTCCACAGTTTAAACTAATCTACAGAATTAAATAAAATATTAGCTAGGAGGGACACGCTGCAGCTTCCTAATTTATAATGTTTAAATTTTGGGGGACTGATGTGGGTGATGGATTTCCCGGAATCAGTCAATCTTCATCCCCTTGAGCCCGTCCCACATTAACGTCCAATCAATATAAAAATCAGCACCTAAACGACAATGAAATATTTCAGACGTCACAACTGTGCCCAAAACGAACACCTGGATTTTAATCTTTTTTGCATCATTATTCCATCCTTCTACATATGAAAATAATTTTAACAATAAGTCTTAAGTCTTTATGCAAATGGTAAATAAATCAACAAGTATACAGTTGTTCTGAGTTTAAGTGCAATAACAACAACAACAAAAAATCATGAATAATTAAATGCCTTTGTTTTATCTGTATATTAGTCAAATGTACAGCTGTATTTTGAGGGGGAAAACTCTAATTAAGAAATACAGTACTATATTAGCAAACTAAAATTAACTTTATTTCGATTGTTCCTGGCTGTCTGATTGACTTAGACTAGATTACATCAAGCAGACTGAATGTTTTATATATATATATATATATATAATTATATTATAATGTTTGAATTCAATTTAATTTAATTTTCAATTTTTAAACCAAGGTAAGCTACTGAAAAATAATTTGATGTTACAAGATTTCAACAACCCCGTTTAAAGTCAGCTTTTCATAAACTGTACGGTCGTTCTAATGACCTTATTTGTAAATCCAATTTATCGTTGGATCGAAAGAAGTCATGTTTAACTTCTTTCATGTTTAATTTGTTAGGTCATTGCCTTTGTATTTAATTTGACTACGGAATACTCCGTTTACCTGATCATTACATAGGGCTCACAGCGGAGATGTTTACTCGTCCTTGGCAGCTGATCCCACCTGTGTGTGGGTCCGTGTTTTTGTCCTGTTCACGATTCGTTTTATTTACTGGATTTATGAGATCGATCACTGTTCGTTTTCCTATTTTTTTTTTTACACATTGAGCTTCTAAAAAGTTACAGATCTGATGTTTCTAAATTTGGAAACAATTTTTCTGTGAAGCAACAATAGTGGTGAGGTCGCAATAGTCAATATAAACTTGTTTTAAACAAAGATACTTCAGCTCCTTTTTCTAACTGTGACGTCATAGGAGTATGATAACAATGCCCTGTATGAGAAACTACTGTATATAAGAAACATGGATTCTTAAGTTGACATTCATTAATTGATAGGAAAATAATAAAACAAATGTACATGAAGCCTTTTGATTCGGTACAATCCTAGATATATTGATCTCAGAGAAAAGCACATCGACCTGCATTTCCTGCTCGATCGATATGCTTTTTCTAAGGTCTATATATCATCAAAAAGCTACATTTGTATAATACAGTGTCAAACTCGGTGTACAAACGTTGATGTACAACAGTGAATACTATGGAACACAGATATTAATTTATCTGCACAATTACTATGGATTCTTTTTTTGTATTAACCACATTTGATGATAGTGGAATTTAATTTTACGTTGGGAATCTATTGTTTAGTTAAGTTTTAAAGTTCAAACTTAGTTTAACTATCGTAAGTACTATGGGAGTATTATGGGACTTGACTTACGGAGTAAAAATTTGATGCTGGGAATAACTGTACTGAATTCTACGGAACTTTGATTATCGATCGTAAAAAAAACTTTAATAATTTGATTTTCTAAAGTTAACAATAGTTTAGTGTAGAAAATTATAGTTGTCTATAATATTTTTATTTTATTTTATTTTATTGGGGGGTTGGGAATTCATTGGAAATTTTAATTTAACTTTTTATTTGTATCGCTTGAATAACTCGATTGATATATTTTTTTGTGCAGGTGTATTTATACCTTTATTTAGAGTGAGTAAAGAATTTAGGTATTGATTGCTAAGTAATTGAATCTTCCCGGAAAATCTCTAAATAAAAACAAACGTTAAATAGGTTCAATTAAGTTTCTACCACTTCATAATGAATGGGTCACTGAGCATGTGATAAAAGACAACAGCACGGTAGTTCCGAAAACCTTCACGATTCATTAACTGGTACAAATTCCTCTTCTCTTGAACAAATAGGTGTTAAATTTGAACTCGATCAGCCTCAGTAAATATTCGGTTAAGCATTGGAATAATCAGACATCACAGTTTCTAATTTCTTACACGACTACTTGCTCATCTTCAATTATAACAAAGTTTTAAATCTATACTGAAACTCTATAAGAAACACTGTATCAGCCATTGTAGCATACAAGTATTTATAATGAATAACAATCTAATCTTTTACATGTAGCAATGCATTTGCATGCCTACATAATCGAATATAGAGGCAGTTTTTACTCTACCTATCTGTTTGTCCGCAAAAACTTTAACCTTGAAAATAAATTTTCATCGGTTGGAGTCAGGGTTTTCGTACTTTACATGTATATTCCTTGTGACAAGATCTTTTTTGGGGTACAGCATATTTGACCTCTTGATCTTCACTTTGAGTTTGACCGTCATTTGCAAAATTTACAAAATCATAACGTTTGAACCGTAACTGCTAGGGGTTTCATACTTCAAATTGTGTACTCCTTGTGATAAGACCATTTCTTGGGGTCTAATATTCTTTACCTTGCTCTTGGAGTTTGACCCTTTTTTTGAAAAACTTTAAAGTAACCATATGCTTTGAATGGTTGCGGCTGACTTTCATATTTCACAAGTATATTCGTGACAATACCTTTCCTTATTAGGTACTAACAACTTTGACCTTGGAGTTTGACAAACTTTTGAAAACCTATAGCCTTGGCTATTGCGTTTTAATGGCTAGTGCTGGGGCTTTTGTATCTCAGATGTGTTTTCCTTGTAACAAGAACTTTCTTTGGGTACAGACAATTTTGACTTTGGAGTTTGACCTATTTTTGAACAACTTTAACCTTGGCCACAAGTTTTAATATTTTCATATATAGCTTTCATATTTGAAATGTGTATTCCTTGTGACATGATCTTCCTTGGGACAAACAAATTTGACCTTAATCTTGGAATTTGGCTTACTTTTGAAATACTTTGACCTTGACCATAACTTTTGAATAGTTTGTGCTAGGACTTTCACATTTCACGGGCGTATTCTTTGTGACAAGATCTTTCTTTGGTTACCAAATTTTTTATCTCTTAAACTTAGAGTATGACTTGCAATTGCATTTGAGAAACTTTGTTCGCCATGAGCTGCCATGCGGGGGCATCAGTGTTACATAAACATCTCTTGATTGATATAGAAAATAATGATAAATGAGGATTTTAATAGTCTAGCTATTACACTTATATTTTTTTTCTACTTTCAGAAATGCGGATGTGCAGTGAGTATTATTTTAAAATATATTCAATATAAACAAGAAAACATTGATGTAATCATCAATTGTCGCCCGGGAAATAAATAAAGTAAACAATGGAAATGAGTCTTGATCATCAAACCGCTTCGATATGTGTGAAAAAGGCATGCGTCTAAATGATGGAGACGATAGTCGAGAATATTTTGAAAACTTATAGTCGGATGAAAATCGAACAAAAACGATACCCTTTTAAACTTTATCAATTCCTCAAGTAAATGTTGGCTGCATAAAATATAATTTGAAACCAGACACATGCATCACATATTTTCAAAAATGTCTTTCACTTTAAGAATATAAAACACGAACTGTGTAAAGTACATTTTTACGTTTTTATGCGATAAGTAAAATTCGATGTTCTAAAAAAAAAGGGACCTGTCGTTTTTTCGATAGTAAATAATAAGCAACTTTATATATTAAATATGAAAAACATATATATTTTTACAGATTCACTTTATGGAAGTAAATATATTGTGTATCTCGTAATTTATAAAGGGAAAGAACATTCTGATTAACAATCTTTTTAATGTTTAGAAAACCTTTAATTCTGAATAACTTCTCCCACCTCAATCCCCATATACAAACACTTAAACTTATATGTATAGATCAGCCCGGTCCTCCGGGCTGCAATTAAGTTTACTTTGTGTGGATTTTTTCTCTTATACAGTCGCTTCTTCTTTTAGTTTAGTACTACTTGTTAGACCATTGTTACGAATCGTAGAACATTAAGTACAATCTACACAGATTCTAGACCAGTCTTCATGCAATGTAATTTTCATTTTTAACATGTAGAAAATCTGTGTTTCATGCAGATGGCTTATATATATATATATATAATTTAATTTTGTTTGTATTCTAGCCTCTGATTGGTTAATATCCAAAAAGGAACACAAATTATTTCTGTATAACCTGGTTTGGTATGGGGACACACCCCCTTGACAACCAGCTGAATCGTCTGTTTCCATACAATCCTCTCATTTCCAGTCCTCGGGATTCATGGAAAATTCCAGATTTAATAAATGTACCTTTAATTTCAAACAATAATTCGATCTTACCACATGTAACCAAACAACATGGCTGCTAGGCCTATGTATCAGTTTTTACCTCCCCTCGATTCCCATCACTTCCGTTACTTCCGTTACTACGGTTGTATTATTGAGCGGCAAATTTGAACTAATAAAAAGTAACGAAATTTTACACCCATAGTTATTAAATGATTTTAAAATTAAATTATAAGGAATGACTCTAATCCTTGGCCAAATTATTCGAGTATAACCTGGTTTGGGTCAGTTTACGCTGTTTTATAATCCGCTTCGCGGATTATAAAGCGTTAACTGACCCAAACCAGGTTATACTCGAATAATTTGGCCAAGAATTAGAGTCATTCCTAAAATATATATATATATATATATATATATATAGTAAACCTAAATCACGAGAAAGATTTATGTATTCTTAAAAATGAATGTTGATCATTGGCAATCAATGGTACATATCTCTATATTTCAAGTTCTCTCGAAAAGTTTTGTGTAAATTAAATGATAACTCTTATATTGCAATGAATATAGTTGATCCTAGTTGTATTGAAAGGAAGAAAAACTATTGCGTTTACAAATAAGTGTTCTGTGTCATATCTTAAAATTAGGCGTAATCAATCAAAACACGTGTCTCTAGTGTAACAGAGTCGTATACAATATCAAGTTTATTTCTTATACGCACACATACCTATTGCATCTTTGACGTAAGAATTAAACATCTTTTATGCCTTTTTAAATTTGTACTTTAACCCCAACAGAAAAAGGAAATGCAAGTCAACATTACTTCTACTTTATCCTAGGCCTCTGCTAAGACTTTTTTTTTAAATTTGTCCCAGGTAGGAAACTTCTGTTTTTTGATTTTTTTTTTTTTTTGGTGGGGGGGGGGGGGGTTATGAAGGGCAATGCAGACCGTCTCGTTTTTAAAGTTAAAGAGTTAAAGGACTTATCGCATGCTTCTAAATTATTTGAAATTAAAAGTGTAAAAGTTCCTTATGACCACAGTTTATAAACTCTGTGTTTTTACTGCGGATAAATTGCCGTAATTAACCAATTACTGACTCCAATGAAAACCCCTGAAATAAAAATCAAAGTTAATTAGATAGCGATCACGTGACCCTGTGACGTCAAAGCGACAATGGCTGATCAGCTCTTCACATTAATCTTACTAAAATATACGCGATACAACCTGAATTTTTTGCGTTATGAACGACCAAATCACTGATTTTATCGGTATAAAATTTAATATCAAACCTTATATTTTGGAATTGTCAGCAAGATATCATCTGAAAAATCTGTTAACATTGTAAAAATAGCAGGGACGATAGCGAGGGAGACGCGGCGAAGACGAAGAAACACGCCATCACAATACAATTTGATTTGTCATCTTATCACATGTATTAACTTATTTGATTCACAAATTTAATATTATATAACTTTGTTATTCTTCGTTTTTAACATAATATTTAATTTATGCAAGTATGCCTTCATATGTTTTGTAAAGGATGGCGGTCTTGAAAAATAATTTTCCGATCACGAAACATTGCCGTAATCAGAGCTACAGATTCTAGATGTTTGGAATAAAAAACGAAAATATCTCAAAAGTCTTATACCTTATAACTAGTTAATGTTTCTATAGTAATTGAAATCACGTTACGAATTAATTTTTTCAGCATTTTTGTAATTAAGCTGGATTTGTCATTGATATCGATTGAAAACAATAGATTTATATGCGCCTGCTGTCCAGTGTAATATTTTAACATCAGAAAAATTTAAAGTTTGTGATTTTTATGACAATTATCAGTTTGTTAGATACTGCCCCCCCCCCCCTTAAAAAATATACATACCCACCTTGAAAAACGTGGGTCGGAATACATCAAACAAAAATATTTTATTGATGACCTGGGCATCTAGGGGACAAGCAAGGTACAATGTAATAAGCAAAGGCATTTTACCAGATTTTGGACATTCTTGACCTCTGATGCTGGAACGGGCTCAATTAATTTGTATTCTTCTGAGAGAAGTTGCTTAATTTTTCCTTTGCTATTCGCTTATGATAATTAATCACTGTAAGTAATGTAATTGAAAGTCAATTGAATAAGAGAATTATACAAAGATTTTGATGATATATAATACAAAAAGCACTCTGTTTTTAATGCTCAGGTAGATTGTAAATAACAAAAATAGTTTATCGTTGTACATTAAGACTAAGAGACGCAATGTAAGAGAGAATGAGTTGGGTTTACTAATAGTGCTTAAGCACCGTTGTGTTTAGTTTATATGGTATAGTGAGAAATGGCGGAAAGTACAGGCAAGAAACTAAATCTACTTTCAGATTTGTTAGTGAGCACTAGACTAATTATTTTGTTGATCCCTGATCATCCTACATGTCTTGCTTTTGGGCAACATAGCTTCAATTATCATTTTCTTTTATTTTATACTTCTATGGATCCTTACAGGTCACGGTAGCCTAGTGGTAGGGCGTTCGCTTCGTGATAGGGAGGCCCGGGTTCGATTCTCGTTCGCCCCGCCGCGTCAAGACCTAATATGTAAACAAAGACAGTGACTGTTCCTTCGCCAAGCACCCGGTATTTGAAGTGAAAGTCACGGGTTTTTCGGATGAGACCTTAAAAACTGAGGTCCCTTGTCACGATAGGCGTTGGCACGATAAAAAAAAACTCACTGTTCATTGGCCCTAATTGCCGAGTATAGGTCAAAATTTGAAGCCCTTCACCGGTATATGGTGACGTCTACATGAGTGAAAAATTCTCGAATGGGACGTAAAATATACACTCTATGGATCCTTTACAGTGTTTATATAGTGTTGACCGTTAAGGCCCCTGGGCATCTTATTTTTTGGTGTGTAAGGTGAAGTCAAGTAATATTTTTTGTGGAGTTATAGAATTGAATTCATGTATAAAAGTTATGATATTCCAGATGAGGATCTTCCGTAACGTTTTGATTTATGCCTAAAACATACATCTTATAGCACGATTGTAATGAAATAGATCAGTAACTACAACATAAAGACGAGCTGACTTGACATGGCAGTCTTTGATATATACATCATTACCGGGACTATGACAGTTGATGAAGGTACTTAAGGACCCTCTATACACCGATGAAAAATGTTTTTTGGACTTCGAGAAAATTATATAGCGTAAAGGAGGTTATTTTGAAATTAATTAACCCATTTTTAATATAGGGAGCGTGCCTTTTTTATTCACAAAAAAACTTCAAAGACAATGAAGTAATAATGAAGAAAAATTTCCTTTGCTTACTCAAATGGATAAAATACATGTAAATAAAGTTTTCAAATGCGCTATTTTGGTCTAATAAAATGTTTAGAATACTTGGATTTATTTCAAATTATGCAATACAGTTCAGATTACAATTTATTCTATCCATATGTCAAATGGTGGGTCAGTCTAATTACACAAAAGTACCCTGAAAATAGGGTGCAGTGTAGAGAGGGTCCTTAAGTGCCTTATATCTCCGCGAGCTGCCGAGTGGGACACAAGTGTAATCTACACACTAATTGGGACAGTTTTAAACCGCAAATAATAAAACAAAACTATTTACTTTCATTATACTCTTATTTCAAATAATAACATGTATTCCAAAATGATATATTTTCAAGTAACACTTATTTCTAAATTATACATTTACATCAACAACATATTTTATATCGCTGTAAATAAATTCGCAATCCAAACAAGCAAAAGAAAGACAACTCTTTTTTTTAGTATACTTGTTCGGATTTCATTGACACTTTTTACAATGATATCACGTGAAGAGTTTTTTTATCAATAACAAGTACCGTAAATTCTTCTTAAATATTAACAAAAGTCTAATCATCCCGTTTATTTATTTATTTATTTATTTACTTAAAAGTCTTTTTTTAGATTAAATTTAATTTGAACGGAATAGTTAAAATATGAAATATACAAGTAGTTTTGTTGTAACTATGAATTATCAGCAGTAGGTATGCAGCATCTATACGGACGATTGCGTAGAGTTCCTACTGGAATCTGAGTTGTTTTATCTATTCTCCGTCATCTGTCAGATAGAGGTATTTCCTGGTGATGACAAGCCTTGCTCTGACTCCTGATCACGGAGCCTAATAAATCATCTACTTCAGGGAGAGCATAAATCAGTTACTGCAATCGATGTTCTCACATAGTTTTTTTTATTGTCATCATCCAACAAATTCACAATCTCTAAATCGAATATGGATTAATGAAACAATACTGATCTCACATGAGCTCTAAAATAAATGAAAACTTATCATAAACATAATAAATTTAAAAAATATGTTCTATTACTACGTTTCACTTAAGTTTCTGTGCAAAATCCACATAAAAGCATTGATTCCTTTGAAGAAGGGACACAGAACAAACAGATGTGAAGGTCTTTTTTCCCTTTTAGATGAAAATATAACATTCTGAAGTCATACTTTTTTCTGGAGTTTAGTATTAATGACTTGTATGTTTTGATTATAACTACACTCTATTATCGTTTTCTATTTTAGTGATAGCAAAACAATCACTGACTGACAGACCTGTAGGCCCGGAAGGGATATTTGGGGATTGCAAATGTTTTCGAAGGGAGATCGGCTGTCCAAAATTTTGGTTTCGTCAACCCCGTAACGTCTGTCCCGGGGAAACACGAGTCATAGAGGTTCCAGAAACATACACCGATTACGAAATTGTCAGGGAGGAAAGAATAATTTGGAATGAGATACACAAAAAGGCGGTAGTTGACGTTCCTGTGCAGAAATACGAAGAGGTAATGCTACGACCACCTCTCACCATCGCAGAAACTACATACGACAACCCGAAAGTGCCAATCCTCCCTGAACCACAACCAGTAATTGGAGAACCCATTCCACCAAATGTAGATTTACCGCCAATAGTTGGAGTGCCAATTCCACAAGAGGTTATTCCAGAACCAGTTGTAAAGAAAGTAACGAAAGTGGTCAAGCAGCCCCCCGTGATGGGAGTTGTCAAGAAAACAATGATTAAGAAAGCGCCGATTTACAAAACAGAAAGAGTACCCGTGAAAACGTTCGTCACGAAAAAGAGACCAATTCAACGAGTTCGCATTCATTACAAAAAAGTAATCATTGAACATATTAACTGCTGTCCTAATTTGAAATTTTGGTTCATTGATTTACCAGTGGTTGTGGAGAATAATGAGGTCTACGATAGTAGCAGAGGCGTTATAAGAAAGTAGTATGGAAACATAGCGCCTATACTATTTTCGTGGTGAAAGTAAAATTACATGACGGAAAGTTCTTGGCAGTGTTTTAGTATCTTTTATAATACAATTAAAAATATAGTGTCACTACAACATTGATAGAATCCCTTGTCCTAAGCCTGTTCCTATAAATAACACACATTTTAATATTAAAATAAGAAGCTAAGGGGAAAAATGTCTAAATAGTTCCTCTTTGACCGACTCCATTGTTATTTATGTTTAAGTATTTTGCAATTTCCTGGAAAATGAGAAAAGAATAGCATCTTATCACATTCCCATTATCTATTTATATTTCCTTCGCCTTCCTAGTCCTTTATGTTTTAATGCATCCTTGTCTCTTGTAAATACAAATGTGAAATAGACAATTCGCACAGGGTAACGTCTTATTCCCGTCTTGTAAGTTGATGGCGAAACATAGTTTTTAGTTCACCTGAGCTGAAAGCTCAAGTAAGCTTTTCTGATCACCCGTTGTCCATCGTCCGTCTTTAAAATTTTCACATTTTCAACTTCTCAAGAACCACGGAGTCAGTTTTAACCAAAGTTGGTACAAAGCATCCTTGGATGGAGGGGAGTTTAAATTGTTAAAATGAAGGGCCCAGCCCTCTAACAAGGGGAGATGCATGTAATAAAGTAAAGACAAAACTAGGGTGGGGTCATTAAAAAATCTTTTCAAGAACCACTTGGCCAGAAAAGCTGAAACTTATATGAAAGCATCCAGGGGTGGTGTAGATTCTAAATTGTTCAAATCATGACTCCGGGGGTAGGGTGGGTTCACAATAGGGAATCAAAGTTTTACATTGAAATATACAGAAAAAAAAATCTTTTTCTCAAGAACCATTGGGCCAGAAAAACTGAAACTTAGGTGGAAGCATCCTGGAATATTGCTGCAGAACTGTAGCGTCATGGTTTTATATTTTAGTTCTTTGACCATAACAAAGACTAAAATATAAAACCATAACGCTACAGTTCTGCAGCTACCTGGGATACTGTAAATTCTAAATTGTTCAAATTATGACCTCCGTGGGTATGGTGGGGCCACATTAAGGAATCCAAGTTTTACATTGAAATATAAAGACAAAAAAATCTTTTTCTCAAGAACCACTGGGCCAGAAAAGCTGAAACTTATGTGGAAGCTTTCTGAGGTACAAATGTAGTGTATATTCTAAATTGTTCAAATCATGACCCCCGGTGGTTAGATGGGACCACAATAGGTATTACAAGGGGGGAAATCTGGTGAAGAACAGCAGGCCCAAAGTTACTCAGGTGAGCATTGTGGCCCATGGGCCTCTTATTTGCATGCTTTCCATTATGTGATGTTAACAAATTTTGTGTTAGTAAAAATCATTTGTATTTTTATTGTTAACCCTTAAATTTCCTCGTCCCATTCAAATAAACAAAAGGTGATATTTGTGGACTTTTTTGCCGTTGTTTTATTCTAATTCTATAACAGATAATTCAAAAGACTCCTGCATGAGTAAAGTCTTGCGACGAATCTAATTTGTGTGATATTAAGGCCTCCTTTAACAAAGCTAAACGCAAGGCAAACTGTATTTGTTGGCAAAATATGTGCAATTCAGACATTTTCATTGAAAAATTTCATTGAATATAATGCTCTTTGCCTCTTAATATACCTTGGTTTTAAAACCAAGTCTCATCACTAGCACCCCCCCCCCTTTCAAAAAAAAATTCTGCGTTTAAAGGAACCCTCGAGTTCAGCTATTCTAGAGTTCAATTAGTATACTGACACGACAGTAGACTCAATGGAATTCAATTAAACAATAAAATACGTTTAGTTGTTAGTACAAGACAACGGTTGCAACATTGCAGAGAAGAAAAAAAACAAACACGCGTGAACATATAGTTTACTTAAAGCGGTTGCGACTGTTATCTGTTATTCAGAAAACAGAGAGACATTTATATATATATTAATATCTTTATTCTTATTTAAAATATTGTATTATTGATCTGCGCGTTAAAAGATATTAAGAAATTTCAAACTGATGGTTTTAAAACACCGGTTCTAACTATTTTAATGTATTGGTAACGGCAATGTTTTTCATAATACGTTATATGGAAATGTGCGAGTGACATCAATTATCAAAAATACACATTGCAAATTACCGTAAATTTTGTAAATCCAAGGCAAAAGATTATGCGATGGTTGTGATAGTGATCAAATCGAAGACGAATTACATTTCATTCTTCAATGCCATAGATATCTGAATTTAAAGAAAAATATATAAATGAATATTTATTATAAATCCCCAAGTACTTTAAAATTATTTCAGTAAATGGGTTTACATTGCATTTCTACCCTGGTTGGCCTGAGAAAATTTAGCAATCATGCTCATGATCTGTCAGGTTGACTCAATGTCTATTTGTACAAGGTTAATTTTCAGATGTTTATATATTATAAAACAACATTGTTACATATTTAAAACAAATAATATATTATTTTAAATTATGTATTGAACTACTTTATATTATACTATTAGTATTGTATACGAGTGGAACTCCGGGACCGATGAACACTTAATCATTGGTCTCTCCCTCCTTTTTAAACTCCTTGAGAGACTTAATTGCTGTAAAATATGTTATAGTTATATGTTATTATTATAAACTGATGGGCTGTTTTGCCCAAAAACGCTTAATAAACTATTGATGGTCAGCAAATAAAACCCCGAATAATGATGAATTCTTTACCAAAGTGATGGCCATTCCGCTATGTGTAGATTTTAGATTTACTGCCTTGTCAGAATACTAGCTGTACAAGCAGGAAGTTTGGATAAAAAAATCTACTGATCGAATCTAAACATTTAGTAGAGCAGTAGTTTGAAGGCCAAGATACTTATAAGTTATAAAGCAAAAAGCGATCACAATGTGCACGAAAATAAGATCAACCTTCGCTCAGTGTTTTTTTATTTACTAATTATTTTTTAAACTTTGCAGTCAGTGATTGTTCTGCTTGTTTCCCTTTAAATAATGTTTGTTCTTTTCTCTTTACATTACCATTAATTTCTGGTTAATTTCCTACTTTACATGAAGTGTAGTCTCACGTCTAGTTGCGGTATATAACTGCCATCTATAGCGCTTGCTTCACTAGAAACAACTTCACAAAATGAAGGAAAAAAATTAGAAAAGGAAAGTTAGCATTCTTATTCAGGAAACGACCAAGATATTATTTTTGTTGAATAATAATGAACAAAAATCAAAGAAAAAAACTCTAACAATTGTAATTCATTCAACAACAAAAATTAAAAGGAAGAATTTCCTCCTAAGAAAGGTAAAATTTCAAAATAACTGAATAAAAGCAGCAGCAAAAAGATTTGAAGACTTTAAAATATCAAAGCGTCAACAGTAGGAATTTCGTCTATACCCATTTAAGTATTTATAATTTTATATCAAAACTCGACAACACTCACACCCTCAATTTCTGGTATATTTTTCTGTGTGTAAATAATTCTTTTGCAAGATTAGTTTTGAGAAAAATCATATACAAGTTTAAATTAGAATTCATCTTTACGTTCAGTTTGATAAAATATGCAATTTTCAACTAATCTCAATAACTTCTTGTAAAATTTAAATCTCGAAAAGTACTTTAATTTGTAAATTATAGAATTTTTTCTCTCCAGATACAAAATGTACATTTGAAACATGCAATCACTTTCCAAGTGTCAGACGGTTATATTTTTTTTTTCTAATTAAAATTATATTGAATATTTTGCAGGGAAAAGTATCCCATTTTCGAAAAATTTTCAAGGAAAAGGCTTCACATAACATTACACAAAATCTGACAAAAAAAATGTTGTTTTTGCACAAACATCTCAAATTCATCATTCACTTGCACTTTTAATTTATAACTGCGCGAATTTCTCTCTACCTAGATGAGGTTACTTCTCTTTTCGCACGTTCACCTGCCATAAGCTTCACACTGTGTCTCTAACCATGATTTAATATAAAATGAAGTGATGAAGTGAATTGATAGGTTTTTATTCCAGTAGTTTTGTTTTGTTTCGTTTACAAACTCCCATCCATGAGAGAGAAATCCAACATCCATGCAGGTAAAAAAAATGTATCATATTATGGAAGCTTTTATCATTTCTTAATTAAATCATGAACAATACATAGGACAACATCCTAACAATTAATATAACTATAGTTAACTATAGTGCTAACTTTGACATGGAAACTATCGTAACTATAGTGATGACTTCGAGACTTTTATTTACTATACTAATAACTTTGATACCTATAAATGTTTTAACTTCATGTTCGTAAGTATTTGTGAATTAAAAAAAAACTTACCTACCTACCCAATTTTAAAGATGGTTTTTTTTTTTCAGCTCTTCAATTTTTTTTAAATTTAAATATTTCGAATTTCCAACGTTTCGGCATAACTGAAAAGACATAATTTGTCGAAATGCGCATCTGATGCATCAAAATTGGTATCGTATATGATTTACATACATATGAGACGTCTATTAGAGAAAATTAATTAACTTTAGGGATATTTTTGAAACTTTCGAGTTACTATAGTTATAGCTTTGATAGCTTTGATTTACTATAATGATAACGTTGACAATTTGATTTACTACAGTGAAAACTCTGACACTTTGAATTACTATAGAATGACGTTAAACATCAAACAAACAAACAAACAAAACAAATTGAATTACTATAATTATCACTTTGAAAACTTTGATTTACCAAAGTAATAACTTTGTCACGTTGATTTACTACATGTACGAGTATAGTGATCATTCTGACACTAAAGTTATCAATTTGATACTAAAGTGATCACTATGACACTTTAGTGATAACTGAAACAGTAATAACGTCGACTTACTCAGCTTACTATTGAATTTTTTGTTGTTAGGAATAAACCGGAAGTTTTCAATCCAGATTTTAAATAAAAGCAGTTACCACTTGATTAAAAAAAACACACACACACAGAAAAGATGTGTATATTTAATGTTTAAATTACTGTATTCGAAAGCGTAGTGCACACCTGAAAAGTAAACATTTAAACGAAACAACTCGAAAATCAAGAAGTTTTATTTTCTCGGAATTTAACAATTAAAACACAAACTTTAGTCAAACTTGCAGCATCGCTTCTCGTCATTGGGACAGTCACCACTCTCAAACTCGTCATGTCCACAATCTGTGTTTTTACAGGAACAGTCCAGTTCACTGGGTCCTGGTCCATATATAGGTGTGTCAAAATAGTAGGAGGGCTCATACAGGTACTGATAATGGAAGTTCACCTCCTGCTCTTGGGGTTCTTAAATTAGAACATGATAGTATTTTTTTCAAATTAGTTTATCATTTGGGTGTATAGACGTATATACTTTTCTGAGGTAGTATCAAAGGCAATTTAGTATACCTATGTTAATCCTATATAAGATTTTCTCCTTCATATTTTATTCAGAAACGAAGGAACGTAGCAAGCAGCTACAAGATAAACATAAATCTTATCGACACTTACGGGTTTGAACACGCCTTCCCTTTCTAATGACACGCCCATTATCATTTACTCTAACACCTCGACGTCCAGCACCAAACCGCCCTCGTCGAATGGCACTTCGCTTGTATCTCTTTGATGGAGTTTCTGCAGCATATCTATCAGGAGTAGCCTCCCGCTTGTATCTTGGCTCATAACGAGGATTTTCTGCGTATCTTTCTGGGGTAGCCTCTCGCTTGTATCGGGGGTCATAACGAGGATTTTCTGCGTATCTTTCTGGGGTAGCCTCCCGCTTGTATCTTGGCTCATAACGAGGATTTTCTGCGTATCTTTCTGGAGTAGCTTCCCGCTTGTATCTAGGGTCATACCGCGGATTTTCTGAAAATTAAGGGGACACATGCTTCAAAAACAACAATTTGCAGTGCATTTTTTTTTTGTATGTAGAGCAAAATTTTTCAAAATTATTCTGTTAAAATACTCCTTCTGCTTATATATCTAATTTCTTTTTATTACTTGCGTGTTCTTATTTTAGGCAATTCACGGCAAATTTTTTAGGCAAATCGAAGATTAGGGATTATTAAACAGTCAAAAATTACGCTTTTAGTACTAAAATTTAGAAATAATCAATTAGCACAAAGCGGATCGTGCAAAACACCTAGAATATGTGTCCTGTCACATTTGTAACGAAAAACTTCAAGGACTACGTCGGTTTCTGTAAAGCGAAAACTTTCTGTAAATTGTCTGTTTATGTTTTTTTTCCCCAAGACAAGTTGCAATGGTTTAGTTTTTATAAATACTAACACCTTTAGAAAATATATCAAATACATTAATAAATTGTCTTTTCAGCGAAAGGTTTTAAAATTAAAATAAAGACTTATTCACACAGGTTTCTAAGAAATTATAATAAATATAAACCATTCTCCTTGCATCGCGGAGTTAATAGAAATATCCCACATATCAGATTGATTGACAAATGAGACAGATTCTTCTTCGCTACAAGTGTTTTATTGTTGTCCAGACAAATTGTGTGACAGCGTGTCCATTACGGGTCAGCACGTCTCCCAATAAAGGGGATTAGCGTCGTCTACTTTTTTAGTATCAAAAGTATATTAACTGACAATCGAAATTTATAAGGACAATTCAGTTATATTCATTAACTGGTGCCCGTAACTGACACAAATGCTTCTCCCACATACATAAATATGATCATTATAGCACATAATTTGTCAGTTAGCAAATGAAAGCATATGTTCTCTGAAAGTATTCTACCTCTTTTTGTTTAAAAAAAAAATGAATTTCAGACCCAGAAGATGCTTTTTTAATGTTCATTTATTTAAATAAATTTACATTAATAAAAATTTTTCATGACTTTTTTACTATATTTTATTCAGACCTAATGTTATTTATTTAACTTGAGTTGACTATGTCAAAATGGACTCTATACAATGTTCAACAGATCTCTTCCTTTGTTAGGCCCACGATTTTGTTGTTGTTTTTTGTTTGTTTTGTTTTGTTTTTTGTTTGTTTTGTTTTTTGTTGTTGTTGTTGTTGTAGGGACTTTTTGGATTATTTACGTACATTTAAGTTTAAGAATAACAACTGGTTTTTTTTTATTTGTTATAATTTATTTTCTTTTTAATTTTTGACGATCAATAGGAAACCAGAAGTCTCTCAAGAGACTTAGCTTTACTGGTTTGTACTTGTAACAAAGGAAGAGAAAAGTAGCACTTGGACTTAAAACTTTGCAACAGCAATAAATAGAATAGTATCCTTGGCTTAGTCTCTTTTGTGGCAAAATTTATTGCAATCAGACTAAAACTACAGGAGGAGTAGCCTTTTTGAAAGAATTTTACAGAAATTTTTCATTTTTAATAACCATGGCTACACAATTCATCAAAATTACCGATAAAGACAATTATGTATCTCATTGTAGTCTACCTGCATGCCAAGAAGAAACTGAAGGAAAAGTAGTGTTTTGAAAGTATTTCATGGATTTTTTTTAATTTCTAGTAACCATGGCAAAACCGATCATCGAAATCAAAAAGGGATAAAGAGAATTATATATCTTAGTGTAGTCTACTTCTGTGCCAAGTAATATTGAAATCAGACCAAAACTGTCGTAGGAATAGTGTTTCGAAAGTATTTCACAGAAATTTCTATTTTAAGTAAACATGGCAACTTCGTTCATTGAAATCAAACACAGGTAAACCGAATTATGTATCTTAGAGTAGACAAAAACTATAGGAGGGGTAGCATTTTGAAAAAAAAATGATTACAGAGGGACAAACAGACAGACGAACGGACGACGAACACCTTACTACCGCATGAGCTTTTCTGGTCTCTGACCAGTAGAGCTAAAAACCAAAATAACCCCCCCCCCCCCGAAAAAAAAGAAACCCTGACAAACAAACAAAAAAGAATGAAATGAAAAGCAAAACAAAACTGATTGCACGTTCAACCTTTGCTATTATGTATATATTTTATATACCTTGATGTACATACATGTGTTCTCTACAAAAATTGAGTAATTTTTCAGTTTTAATTTGTATATGACAGTATTAATTATGGAAATTATATTAATATTGTTTGGTATTGGTTACATAAAAGGTGTATAACATACGATACAGCAGAGATAAATAATTATAAGGTTAAAAAGAGATCAATGAGAGAAAAATATATTCTTCAAAATTCAGATAACATTTTTAGGTACATGATATGCGTCACATATCATTGAGTGGCCTCATCTTAAAAGAAATGATTGCAATTTAGTTTAACCTGTACTTGTACACCTGTGTCCAACACATTAAATATTTTTACTATTATGGCAGAACTCATTGACAATAGCTGTAATGTCTCTTTAGGAAGAAAACTTAAACATATATGAACTCACCGGCTATGCATATCTGAATAAGTACTACCAGTCCTAATAGAGTGATTAGTTTGTTCATGGTGGTGGTTCCTTTGCAGGCCTTTCACACAACGAAAGCTCCAAAGCAAATGTCGGAGATTTTGAAAAAGTCTCAGCTTAAATATGCAATGTCCGACCGTAAATAATGCTTAGGTGGGACATTTACGATTAGTTCGATCATATTGTTTGTCACATGGAAACCATCTTCGTGGTGGAGAAATAATGTATAAACAAGTTAACATTAAATGACATTCATGGCATATAAACATGTCCATTGGCCAAAGTATAATTTCTATTGATAAGATATTGATTGTCATAAAATTAATTGACCAGGAGAAATACTTCTTAGAAATTGGCAAAAAAAAAAAAAAAAAAAAAAAAAAAAAAAAAAAAAAAAAAACCAAAACAAAACAAAACAAAAATCTAACAATGTAGTCTAAAGCACCCCATATATATTAAACAGGTATGTCATTTGGAACTCAAGTATTATATCGTTAGCAAATGGTCAATTGTGCAAATTCGAAAAGAAATAAAATGATAAACTTTTTAAATTAATCGTGGCCTTGTATCAGAATCCAGTCAAATATTTCTTCTCAAAAATCTTACATATCAAGCAATAAATTATTCAGCGAAGTGACCTGGCTAGAGAAAGAATGCAACAGGGGCATTTGTAGATGGTCTCCTTTAAATGACACTGTATTAGATGCCTGACAGTAGATGTCACCTGCAAACTTTCGTATCGAGCACCAACTTTCAATAGTGAGGGGACAAAGCCTTGCACAAATAGAACAGAAGAAGTATCTGTGTATTTTTTTTCAAATTCTTTTTTAAAAATGCAAGGTTGTACATGGTCAAACTGCAAACAGCCTTCTAGCAAAATTGTGAGATTTATTACAAGGTACGTGCAATAGAGATGCATTTTATCTTTGAAAATATTCTTCTCAATTTATCGAGGTCTTGCTTCTAAATGAATACAAAGAACAAGAAGCTCCTCTTTAAAATTGTGAAATTCATTAACATCCCAACTTCCCCTAAGACCTTCGGGCGTGCATAAATGGCGAGATGATGGTAAATCTGTCTCATTTCTGAGCTCCCGGCAAACGAACTATTTGTAATTTAATCAGCAGTCCGTAGCAAATCTAACAATCTGTAACACCTGGACGATAGGTTCAGCCTTATGATGGGGTCATATTCCTTGGCATAGCAGGCAAACCACTTGGAAGAATGTTCTGAGCTATAAACCTGACTATTTACATTTGAATGTAGTGAATAGGCCTGCAGGGTGGGACAAAACTGGGTAAATGTAATTGAAAGTACATTATTTTTTTGGAACATATTTTTTTCCAACTATTCGACTTGGCCAAGATCAGGTGCCCATTTCCAGCTGAATGTTATCTAGAAGTAAATCTTTACACTTACATATAATCTGAATGTCTTTTGTTGCATTGCGAAGATTAGAATGAAAAGCTTTCCACTGGTGTACAATATCATATATATATAGTATCTGCATCTTTAAACAAGAGGCGCAAGGGCCTTTACCGTCTCTTGAGTATAATACAACAATTTAGAGGATCCATATAATATTAACTGTTAGATGAAGCTTTGTTGTCCAAATGCAAAAGAAATAGGATGATCAGGATCAATAAAATAATTAGTCTAGTATTCAGTAACAACTCTTAAAATAAGTTCTAATCTGTCCCCATTGATCACTATATCACCTTGCAGACTATCAACAAACTATTAGTGCTTCTGTACTATTTTTAACCCCATATTAAAACCCTCTCGGTCTTTGAAAAACATTTAATAAAATAAGTTATTTTTGTCTTATTTTTATTTATCTATTTTTAACAAGTTTACCTGATCATTAAAACTATGGAGGTACTTTTCGTATTATACAATAAAAATTCTTGCATATTTCTTTTATTCTATTAACCTTTCAAATATATTACTTACAAATTAATTATCAAAAGTGAGTGGTAAAGGGGAATAATTTCTCTCAGTAGAATACAAATTAACAGAGCCGTGGAAAGGACCAGAACTCTTGACAAATTGGTAGATATGTTCAAAAATCTGGTAAAAATACTCTTGCTTATTAACACTTTTACTCTGTTTGCCTCCGATATGCCCAGGAGCAGAGAAGATTTTCAAAGATATAATGCATTTTTACTATAGATTCAAAACAGCCCTACGCTAACACCAGAACTCATGACCAAGGGTAATGAAATTCATGTTTCACTGCTTGATGTCTAGGAGTAGAGAATATTTTTGAAAATTGCATTAATTTTTATGGTTTTGGCCCCACCCCTCAGTCCCCAAGAGGACAGGGACCATGAAATTAACATTTTTTGTCACCCTTTGCCCAAAGATGCTCTATACCAAAATTTGTTCAAATTGGTTCAGCGGTTCCAATGAAGAAGCTGAAAATTTCTAAAGTTTACGACCGACCGACGAGCAACGGACGACGTACGCCGACGGACGAAAACAGACTGCAATTCAAATGTAGGTCACCTGACTGACTCAGGTGACCTAAACAAGCGACAGAATAAAGGTCAAAGATTCATGATTTTTTGAAGCGTTTCAAATAAAATGTTAAAATCATTTTGAATGAAAAATTCCAATATAAATATACATTATTATAGAAAAATCATTCAGGTTAAGTTTATTTTTTACAGAAAAAAGGATAAAAATTGTGGAATTTTCGAATAAATATGTGCGGAGGTACCTTAACCTATATAATTTAAAATTTATCAATGTTGGAATAAATGCATAATTTCTAACAAAAAAAAAGAGAAAATATGTTAAATTTTTTTTATGTTACTTAAGGAAAAAGGTACTAAGAGAAAAATACAGTGGATACATGTATATTGTAAACTGTGTGCACATTTTGTAATTTTTTTCCCATACTGGTCCAATATTTTGTTACCAGTTAAGTAAACAAGTTTTGAATAGCTCTTGTGCTAGCACCTAAAGAAGTTAAAGATGAATGATTGTTGTCCGTAGCCCTGTATAGTCCGTAGCCCAGTAACTTCCAGAAAAAAGTCATATACATTATTGATACAATAACTACAATACAATAATACGTTTATTTGAACAAATGCAATGTTTTTAAATACAAATACCACTATAATTAAAGATAAAATGTCTGAAATTTAATATTTTTCAACTAAAGGCTTGCTTCAATCTGTATTCCGTCCTGTAATGTTTGTAGTCTCGTAATATTCTTAAATACATGATAAAATTTTCCTTCTTGTGATACATACTATCAATCCATTAAAATAATTAGGGTTGGGACATTTTCAAAAGAAGATTTGGCCACACAAATCCTACTAACAAAAGGGCTAAAGAATCTACACATAAAGGCAAATTTACTGACCATATAACTGTGTTTCTTCTGTTAAGTTTGAGGGGTTTTTTTCCTGTCTGCATCTGCTGCAAAATGGGGATTTGGTTTATTAGTTCTCAATCCAGTCTTAACATCCCATAGTGGGATTAGATACCAAAACACAAGGATCAACTCCTTACTTTGCAACATCTCTTGTGCAAAGCGAGACCTTCACTCTTATAACAGTGCCACCCAATTAATCTACTTGTAACTGAATTGTTAATTTAAAAAAAACATATTACATTGATTCTTTATGGACAAATATTTTACCATTGTTTTTTTACTTCAAATGGTGATGATACTTTACAATCATGTTTTGTAACTTTTTTGTGAATTACGCCATGATAAATTATCCATCATTTGAATAACTATATGAAGGTACATGTATTACATTAAAATCAAATAAAAGAAAAAAATATGAAGCAATAAAGTCCGTAACCCCCCCCCCCCCAAAAAAAAAATCATGCCTTGATTTACAGCTCCCGTTGTTTTATTCATTACAGTTTGAACACTAATAATGTAATTAGTTGAACCAGAATTTCACTTGGCACTGAAAGTATACAGTACATTAGAAAACTGATTTTGAAGTAAGGCATGTCATAAATACTCAAAGTAATCTGAACTGATCTAGACCCCCCCCCCCCCCAAAAAAAAAAATAAAATGATAATAATAATAATAATTAAAAAATTGACCAAAATTTAATAATAAAATTATAGTTGATTGTCCAAAATACGAGGAGTGATCAAAAAGTTCGCGAACTACCGGTATCTCTATATTTACAAAACCACAATTCAGATCAGAATGAAATTTGGCAAACATATAGTCATACATATTTTCTATAAATAGCACATGTTTGTAATGTTTGTGACGTCACAATGTGAAAATGACGTCAATATGTAGATGACTTGTGACAAAAATTGGTTGACTCAGTCGTACTCCAGCAACGAACAGCTGTTAAGTTTAACCCCTCGTAGAGATGTTTAATGGATAGTCCGTTTCCCCACTGCCCACTTGAAATTCGTCCTTCTAAGATGCTAAAGTGAAGCTCATTCTTGGTCTAAAACTGTGTTTTGATATCAAAATACCAATAACATGCTATTCTGACATGTATTATTTTCTTCTAACAATTTATTTTTTTACTCGTATTGTGAATTATATGAAGTTTTGTTCATACATTTTGTTCAAACTTCAGGAAGATTCTCCCATCTTAAGTCCAGAAACTGTGGATGATTTTTGCGTTTTTTGCTTGTATAATTTTAGATACAATGGATTGTCTAAACTTGGTCAAATCTTCTGTCACAAAAATTTTATTAGCATTGTTTTCAATTGTTTTTAGCGTGTTTAGCTTTGTTTTTGATCTTCCAATTTTTAAATCCAAATGATCTGAATTTTATTTTGTTTTGGACGACCAATGGGGTGAGATCTGTCTATGTCATCAGATGTGATGGTAACACCCATACCTTCGCAGATTTTGATAACAGTGGAGTCTGTATCTGTTGCCTCATCCTCATCTGGGTCTGGTAGAGGTACATTATGGAAGCGCAGTGATGGTCTGCGACCATACTGTTCCAGGTTGTCTAACCCATATTTTAAATCCTCTATTCTTTGTTTTAATTCAGTGTTACTCTGTTTTAGGCATTTAATTTCTTCATTTTGG